GATGACAGAATAAGACGACAGTTAAGATGACAGAACAAGACGACAGAATAAGATGACAGTTAAGATGACAGAATAAGACGACAGTTAAGATGACAGAACAAGACGACAGAATAAGATGACAGTTAAGATGACAGAATAAGACGACAGTTAAGATGACAGAACAAGACGACAGAATAAGATGACAGTTAAGATGACAGAATAAGACGACAGTTAAGATGACAGAACAAGACGACAGAATAAGATGACAGTTAAGATGACAGAATAAGACGACAGTTAAGATGACAGAACAAGACGACAGAATAAGATGACAGTTAAGATGACAGAATAAGACGACAGTTAAGATGACAGAACAAGACGACAGAATAAGATGACAGTTAAGATGACAGAATAAGACGACAGTTAAGATGACAGAACAAGACGACAGAATAAGATGACAGTTAAGATGACAGAATAAGACGACAGTTAAGATGACAGAACAAGACGACAGAATAAGATGACAGTTAAGATGACAGAATAAGACGACAGTTAAGATGACAGAACAAGACGACAGAATAAGATGACAGTTAAGATGACAGAATAAGACGACAGTTAAGATGACAGAACAAGACGACAGAATAAGATGACAGTTAAGATGACAGAATAAGACGACAGTTAAGATGACAGAACAAGACGACAGAATAAGATGACAGTTAAGATGACAGAATAAGACGACAGTTAAGATGACAGAACAAGACGACAGAATAAGATGACAGTTAAGATGACAGAATAAGACGACAGTTAAGATGACAGAACAAGACGACAGAATAAGATGACAGTTAAGATGACAGAATAAGACGACAGTTAAGATGACAGAACAAGACGACAGAATAAGATGACAGTTAAGATGACAGAATAAGACGACAGTTAAGATGACAGAACAAGACGACAGAATAAGATGACAGTTAAGATGACAGAATAAGACGACAGTTAAGATGACAGAACAAGACGACAGAATAAGATGACAGTTAAGATGACAGAATAAGACGACAGTTAAGATGACAGAACAAGACGACAGAATAAGATGACAGTTAAGATGACAGAATAAGACGACAGTTAAGATGACAGAACAAGACGACAGAATAAGATGACAGTTAAGATGACAGAATAAGACGACAGTTAAGATGACAGAACAAGACGACAGAATAAGATGACAGTTAAGATGACAGAATAAGACGACAGTTAAGATGACAGAACAAGACGACAGAATAAGATGACAGTTAGGACGACAGAATAAGATGACAGTTAAGATGACAGAATAAGACGACAGTTAAGATGACAGAACAAGACGACAGAATAAGATGACAGTTAGGACGACAGAA